TTTTCTTTATGCCAGAATAGACAAAGGTTACTTCTTTGAAAGAAATTACATTCTTGGATACAAAAGACAGGCCAGTTTGCCTACAATCAATTTGAAAGCATAACATCTTTGAGAAAAGTTCAACTAGATTAAATGAGCAATGTTTTCAAGTATGACATTGCAGTCAATTTCTTGGTTTTATAATTTGTACAATTATATCCTGGTATAAAGGATGAGAGCTTCTGATTGAATATATGCAAATTCGTACATTGAAAGTAAGGAGCCTTAATAGAACCCTCTGAATTCTAGACATGTAAGTAAAAAAACAGATATCATTTTTAAATACTGTTACTGGAACTTGAACTCCAGGGCCTTGTGTTCTCACTTGGCTTTTCCTTCAGAGCTAGTACTCCACCACTTGAGCAATGCCTCCGGTTCCATCAGAAAGAATGATATTGTACCATTGCTAAGACTTGGGAACAATTATATTAAGAGAAACTTCAATCCTCAAATCTCAGCCCCCTGAATAGCTAAGATTATAGTTAGAATACATTGAGACCTGACTCAGATATCATTTTAAGTGGTTTATTTAAGTTTACAAAAGTAGAATATACTAGATTCTTGTGGGTTATTGAATGTTTAAGTGGGAGGAAGATGTTTTTAATACATCTGGAAAACACAACACTAGACTATAGGCATAAAAGCTGTCTACCATTCATTGATTCTAGTGCTATCCTGTTCTACTGGATCTCATGTTAATCATCACACACAACCTTTCCTTTGGCCCTGAAATACTCATAGAAATATTGACTCAGTCTATCCATGAAGCAATCTTTACATTGCCAGTTCTGTACTGTTCTATACTGAAGTGTAGATGCTGGAAGGATTTGATACAGAGATTCTGTAGTGTTTCCTTCTTGCTGAGCATAGAAATTAGGGCCTATATCCTGTCAGAGATTTTGGAGATGCATGAGAATAAAATACTAGGCTAGAGAGTATTTTTGAATTATGACTAAAAATTTACCATTGCACACAGTTAAATGAAAGTTAGTAACAAGAATAAGAAACAAACCAGGGCCAAGATAACAAAGCAATGTAAAACAATTTAGACAAATTAAATGTATTTTCAAAGAGGTCTATGAATAGTGTATCTGATTTAAAAAATGATTAAAAAATAATTTCATTAAAGAAAAAAACTCTTGAAACATGACAGAATAATCCCAAGATATAATTATCAACACCATATGAATGTCAGGTAAAGAAATTCAGTTAATCTGTAGTAAAATCTCAATATTTATATTTTTGCCAGTAGCTGGAATTATAACTAATAATTTACACTATTATTATCCAGTTACCGTTAAACAAAGCACAACTAAAATTCTCACAAATAGAAGAAAACCTGGTAGAAATATTCCTAAGAGGTGTAATCTGTGTTTTCCCTGGAAATGAAAACATGTAAGAAGCTAAGAACAATAACCAACTTCCTATAACACATAGAAAAATGTCCAAATACTTATATTAATACTATCAAATCAACACAAATTTACCTAGGATAGGTTGATCATCTCCTCTGACTTGACAACTGCTCTGGTTGGAGTATATAAACAGACTTAATTATTTTTAGCACTATTTTTCAAACACACAAGACTGAATCTTTATAATTGTTTTTCTAAAGTTCCCTCTAGGAAATCTCAAAGATTTTGAACATGAAAGAGAGCAGTTTGGGCCATAAAAGAGAGCCTAAAAGTTTTTTTTCAATAACTAGGATCTAGTTATGAAATGAAAAAGTCAGAAAAAATTGTCAATGGGTATTCATATACTTTGTTAAATCAAGCAACCAGAGAAATACTGAGTTAACCACTTAAGTAAACATTTTAAACAATTAAGATTTTAAAAATGAATAGAAGTGGGCTGGGAAGGTAGCTCAGTGGTAGAGTGCTTGTCTTGCATGCATGAAGCCCTGGGTTTGATTCCTCAGTACCACATAAGCCGAAAAAGCTGCAAGTAGCGCTGTGGCTCAAGTGGTAGAACGCTAGCCTTGAGCTGAATAGCTCAAGGACAGTGCCTAAGCCCAGAGATCAGGACCCATGACCGGCAAAAAATAAAATAAAATAAAAAATAGAAGTTAACATACTTGTGCTCTTATAAACAACACATTTTGTTCTTTGTTTTTCTTATTTTCCTTAAATAATCACACATTTAATGAATATAACATAGGGCACAGAAAATTAGTCTTACAAGACAGTGAATCTTTGGTATATAGGCAGATTACACAGAAGCTTTAAAATGACTTTTTCAAAAGAAGAGTCGAGCATTAAACAAGCCTATCAACACTAAACAGACAGTACTGCACTCCAAAACAGAAAATATATTCTGCGTTCAGATAAGAAAAAATAAAGATCTTTCTAATTTGTAACTATCAACACATAGAGAAATATACATAGCTAATAATCAGACCCAACCTTAGCCACAGATCAATGCAAACATAACACAAGAAAAGAAAATCACCAGTCTACATATCCAGGACTCATCTTCTCCAGTCAGTGCAAGAATCTCAATATAAACTTAGATGAGTAGACAAATAATACAAATAAAGTTCTGGAAAATTGTTTCTCATCCAAAAGAATTTGCATAGGTGACAAGAGTTAGATCATAAAACTATATTCTGAATCACCACTCTAATGGGGTATAATTTATCAACTATAAAAAATTCAAAGACAAAAACACAAAAATAGTCATAGGGCTAATATGGAAAGCAACAATGGACCCGAGAAGTTAGCAATTCATTGCTACTGAGGATTTTCCTCTGGCAGTAAAGAAAGATGGACCTAGGATCCTAAGAGGTGCCCTCATCTCCTGGAGAGAAGGTGAGTCAGCCTCCACAAGCACAGACACAAAATGAATTTGCCAAAAATACCCTTTAATTCATTGATTATAGATGGCACTGGAAATATAATAAGTGCAAAGAGAATTCAAAGGATATATATGTAAAATAGATTGCTGTTTTTTGTTATCCTTAAGTAGTTATACAAAAGGATTTCAATTCAACATGTCAAACTATGAGTACAGTGTATCTTGATCATCCCTCTCATCATTCTCCTCACCATCAATGCCAGCTTTACCCAACTGCCTCAAGTTACCTGGTTCCATTTTCATGTATATACCTTGAATATTGTGACTATTTGCCTAGCCTTCATTTCTCTACTCATTTCACCCTCCCCCGTTGAATCCTATCTCCTGACAAAACATGTTCAGCTTCCTAGTATTTTGTTAAACTGTAAGATAGTTGAACAGACTCATCCTTTGCACATACCAAACTTTAGTCAGGTTGTCTAGTTATATATGCTATATGACCCTGTATGTTTTCATATGTGTTTATAATTTACATCTAACTTCCACAAATGAGAGAAAATATGTACCCTTTGTCTCCCTGAGCCTGACTTATTTCACTTAACATGTTATTTCAGTTCCATCCATTTCCCTGCAAATTATATAACTTCTCCTTGATTGATGAATAAAATTCATACACAAACACACACACACAGACATATATGTCACTATAAGACCATTACTTTCATTCCATTGGGTCCAAGCAATTTACATTTTATAAACAATAACAATATAGGCAGTTTTTTACACCTTTAATAATTGTAAAATAACACAAACAAAATAGCAGCAAAAACAAAAACAAAGTAAAAATGACATGAATGAACCCATTTGATTTGCCCACTTCAAGACTATAGTTTTTCCAGTCCCGGTTAATAAAACCTGGGTCAAAAATATCCTTCTGTGACTGACACAAGAAAATAAATACTAGCAATGGAAAAGAGCAATACCAAAACTTGATTCTACCACCATTTCTGAGTTTCTTTTTGTTTGTTTTAAATATATTTTTTATTGTAAAGATACTGTACAGAGGGGTTACAGTTACATGAGTAAGGTAATGAGTCCATTTCCTATTCAGCATTGTTACCCCCTCCATTGTTTTTCCCCTACCATTCCTTTCCTCCCCACCCCCTGACACCTCCCTCTGACCACCCCCTGCAAAGTTGTAAAGTTCCTTTTCAACATAGTGTCTTGTGTGTATCATTGTTACAATGGGTCAACTTGTATCCTTATTTCAGCATTTTGTTTTTTACCTTCTCCTCCCCAAATTAAAAAAATGTATATACAAGATGCAGGACACCAGAATCAAATACAGTGACAACAGGGGTTATTCCATGGGGAAAGAACATATAAAAAAACAAACAAACAAACAAAAATCACATAGTACATTATAAATACATTAACAAGAACAGCAAGAAAGATAAAATCTCTTAAGTCCCTCTCTTAGGGTTGATTTCGTGTAGCATCATCTTATGTTTTCTACAGTATTTTCACAATAAAAAAAAATAATAAATTTTTTTAAAAAACCAATTCTGAGTTTCTTACCATTTCTCTCTATAACCAATGGAAAGAGTTGTTCGCAAGGTAGCTCTCTGTGAACTTGTCATCATGTGGGAAATCCCAAGTAAAATAGAGATCACGTCTTTCTCACTGATTATAATTTGAAAGGGGGAAAAACAGCAGATCAAATCCTTTTGAAGATGATAATAAGTTTTATTGTCAAGCCATCATGGACAGGTATGTTAACTGACTTGAACCAATTCCAACTTTGAAGTATTGGTCTGACAAACTAGAAATCAAGATAGAATTCTTTTTAATTATGAGCCTGAAGTGTCATGTGTTTTTAAAGCCCTACATTAGGATTTCTGTAGTTAGTGACTCACAGCGTACAAGAGAATCTAGACCAGAGTGAATCTGGGATTCTCTTTGATCCCAAGTACTTTTAGTAATGTCACAACCCTGTAGCCACAAAGCTCATAATGGAAATCATCACTGCTCCTGAAACAAAAAGAATCATCAGGGGTGGAGTAGAATTAACTCATGGGAACAGCCATTTTAATTTTGTTTTCTGTAAAAATCCTCTGATGCCAATTATTTGTATGGATTTGGTTAACAATGTAATTTGTGTATTTTAGGCTCAACCTGGGGACAACTCTACTAGAATCCCTATCCAGACAGACCTCTACATACAAGCTGTCATTTTTGACCATGTTTCCAGAAGGAAGAATTAAGTACCAACATGTTAGATGGTTCTCTAATTGTTTGTTAAATTAAAATTAATTCTGTAGTTTAAAAAAATTGGAACCATAAACGAGTCCTACAACTTGAAGGCAAATTAGAATAATAAAATTTAATAAGGAAATTAAGAAAAACTGTAATTTTGTCCATCTTTTTATTGTGCAGATAGCCTCTTGATCTGAGTTGAGGTTTTTGTAATTTTTTTCCCCTGAACATGGAAGCTGATTGCAACAGTTCATGGAAGAGAATCTTGTTGCCACTTCAAAGATACACTAATTGGTGACATATTTTGAAGCTCAGATTTTCCAAAACAAAAATGTTCCAGGTCCCACAATTGCCAAATCTAGCGTGCCAAACATTATGCCATGTGGCTCTGCTGGCAGTCCTCATCCCTAAAAAATCACTGAATATTGATAAGGAGCCCCAATTTGGAGGACAGGCATAGGAAACACTGTACGGATGCAAGTCTTTCGATAGCTCTGCATATATAAAATACGAAATAGTCTAGAAGATTATTTTAATATCAAAAAAGGCTTATATGCCTGGACAGCACAAACCCCATGCAACGAAGTTAAAAATAATGAAATCTAAAAGAAGCTCAAAGACTTCATAAGAGAAATGAGCATGTTTTCCTAGTATGTTCTGCAGGTGGCTTTGTGCAGAAAAGAAATTTAGAGGCAATCTTTTATTTAAAATTAATGTTTGGTTCTTCCTCTTCTTTCCAGTTCTCTTCCTTTGCTATCCAGTCTATTACTGCAGCAATCAGGAAAAGGAAAACAATGTGGGCTTCTGCCCTATGATACTGGGTTAGAAGAGCCCAGGACAGTGTCAGGTTCAAATGGGGTGAAAAGTGTGTGTTCATGGGGGACAGCAAGAAAGATTAGATCCCAAGCAGGGTGCAAGAGGACGACCTGTTAAACTGGAATTCGATGTCATGGTGTGATCTCATAGTCTTCGGTATATACCACAGATGCAAACTATGCAGATCTGTATTACTATGTACTCCAAATGTACATTGTATGGATTATGCACACATATTACTTTCTCCGTGGAGAACATCCCAATAGAAGGCCTACCATCCATATATTAATTTATTACAATAATTTTTCCATCAAAAATAAATAAATGCACAAATAACTAAATAGTAGAGACGCTGGGGGAAATGACTGATTTAAGGGTAAGGCGGGATAAAAACAGGACCCTTAAAAAGAACTTGCCAGAAAACAAAGAAGTCCTCAACTAATGAAAATGTATCAAATAGACCCAGAACCCACATTGAAGGGGTTCTCAATGACCAAGTCTGAGACAGTTTGAGCACCCAAATAAATAACCATAAGACTAGGAATCAAATTGGAAACTGTGCGTCTATCGTGATCTTTAGACTGGAGTAAACTAAAAGTTGGTATGGAAAAGGCTATTTACAGAGGACCTCTGCACAAAATATTTACTTGCAATGAAGGAAACAAGCTAAGAATGGCTGGGTGCCTGCTTTAAGAAGGTGGTTGAAGAGTACCATCAACAATGAGGAAAAATGAATATTTGCCCTACCAAGTAAGATTTATGTCTGAACCAATCAAATGTCACATTTTAAGTTGGAATAGCCAGGCTTGTCAGATGCAAAAGAGACACACAGCGTTTTGGTAAAAGTCCTGCTGAAGTAATATAGCCTGAGTTGATCAAAAGAAAATGCAGACAGGCTCAAATCCAGAAACATTAAGCAGAAGAACTGGCTTATAACTTCTGCAAAGTATCAAGATCACAGAAGTGAAAGAGAAGACTGAGAAACCATCCAACAGCCATAACAACCGTATGTAAAACATACTGCTGAGCAGGATTCTAATCCAAAACTGGGGGCAGCTGCTATAAACTGGATGACTTCTGAAGATTACACAAAAGGAAAGCTTATTATTGACTTTTATGATTATATTATGGTTATTTAATGGAATGCTCTCAATTGTAGGATATTACTCTACAGCATTTGAAAGTCAAGGGGCATCCTGTCAGCTGATTAGTTATAAATTCAAGGAAAAGGTTTTGGTTAGTATACTTGCAACTTCTCTGCAAATCTGAGACTGTTTTGCAATGAAGTAAATATTCAATGTGTTTTATTTGTAAATTGAAAAATGGTATTTCCTTAAACTTGAAGTAAACTGTGAAAATTTTATTGTTCCATTTATAGATTTAAGTAAATGTCAACAGTTGATTTGATAGATCCCTCCATATTTTAATTTGATAAATTCTTTTAAATATTTAAATTTTCCTTCATATATTTCATTATATTCTCTAACGATTTCAATATTTGACAAGTAAGACTTTCTATAGAATAAATTTACTGCAACCTAGTAAATTCAATATAAATATAGTGAATATTTTTTTCTTAAATGCCCAATATGCTTTGCAGATTTCCAAAATTTAAGCTAAAAAACTATGTATGAATTAATATTTAAATATCATTGTCTAAATAACAATACTAAAACTTTTATATTTCTCTACCTTCTAATATGCCAGCTTCTCTCTCTCTTTTTCTCTCCTTTCTTTCTTTTTTGTGATTGTCTTAGGGTTTGAACACAGTGCCTGGGCCTGAGTTCAGTATTTATATCAGATTTACTAAATTGCAGTACTTATTTAATTCTCTGGAAAGTCTTATTTATGAAATATTGAAATCTTTACAGAATTAATATAATGATGTTGGTGATTGAAAATTTAAATACTTAATAGAATTTAAATATGAAAATCTACCAAAGTAATTGTTAATATTAACTATTAAATATTAAATACATAATATCAATAATCTATAAAGAATATTTAAATTTTTATATATGCACCCATATATGTATATATTTACAGATTATTCTTATGTATAATTCCAAGATTTAAAATAGTTTAAAGCCAATTCTATCATTTCTGTTAATTGTTACATCAGCCTCTGAACTCAACTTAAGAGTAAATACTTAACTGAAGATCTGAATGGATTACAGGAAATATTGTTGAGCCTGTATTTGTTATGAAAGGATAGCAAAAAAAAAAAAGACATGGTGTGGGTGATGTGATCATATATACCTGTAATCCAAGATACTTGGGATGGAGAATCAGAAGTTCCAGGCCAGCTCAGAAAGAGACATGATGACCCTGTCAAGTCTTGTCTTACTTTGTTTTCACAGTTGTAAGGTTTCATTGATGGAATTATTGGAATTTCACAGTTGTAAGGTTTCATTGATGGAATTATTAGAAGCTCTCTACTTTGAGGCTCCTTAAGGTAACTTCCATCCAGTAGGAAAGAGATCAACTAGAAAATTATTTTGCTTGAGCAAACAGGGAAGTACGTTTAACTGAAGTTAATGGTTGAATGCAGGGTCCAGGAGGGAAATATACAATAGATATTAGAGTCAGCAAAAGGAACAGTGAGCCAGAGTCAGTACCAAAACTGGGCTAGCCAACTAAAGAGAAAGGAAACAAGAAACTAGGCAATGCAATAAAGAATAAAGATCATTCAGAAGCAGACTATTTGGCAAGCTAAAGTTGGTTATTGGCCAAATCACTTTATCTACCCAGATTTTGGATCCTGAAGGTCTCTACAAAATCCAAAGCTATCTCTCTCATGTATTTATAGACTCAGCTGAAGAAAAGTCTTGCAAGTCTCATTTTCTCCAAGTGATATTTAACTATAATATTCAGGGATTCTAGATGGCTGTAACAAAATCCAATCTGAATCTTTATTATTATAAAAACACAGAGTTATCTCTCAGATCTGGAAGAAAAGAGTATGTCTTTATCCAGAAATAATATAGTAAAAATCTGGAGGGCTGGAGAATAATAGCTCAGTCGAAGAACACTTGCCTAGCATATGCAAGGCCCAGTGTGTGATCCCAATACTGCAAATATGTAAATAACTAAAAATTGAATACCATCCAAAACTCCATCTCTAACTCATTATTGCATCCTTACTGCAGCAGTATTCTCTTTTGCTGTAGAGGCCTCTGTGTTTCTCCCGATCTCTTGGTAAGAAATATGGCTCAATGAATGATTCTAGACTCTCATTCATACTCCCATTGTTCCTGCACCTTTCTATGCCTCTTCTATCTTCTATTCTTCCTTCTCTCTTCTTTTACCAGAATCCCAAGAAGAGACCCTTAACTCAGCCTCAGGAGTCCAGTCACACCTAAATTTAAAAATCTCAAATGAGGAGGCTGTGCAGAATTGTATTTTAAGAATTACATCAACCATAATAACCTCATGGATGAAGAAGAGTATCTATGAAGAGACAATATATAATCTGCACAGACATATAATCTTAGGTGATTTTTTTTGTCAGTCATGGACCTTGAACTCAGGGCCTGAGCACTGTTCTTCCGTTCTTCAGTTCAAGGCTAGCACTCTACCACGTGAGTCACAGTGCCACTTCCATTTTTTTTTCTGATGGTATAATGGAGATTAGAGTCTCACGGACTTTCCTGCTGGGGCTGGCTTTGAACAGCAATCCTCAGATCTCAGACTACTGAGTAGCTAGGATTACAGGCATGAGCCACCGGCGCCCAGCTTCTTAGGTGATTTTTTTCCCATGTTAGAGATCTTCGTGATTTTTTTTTGATTTGTTGGTTCTTTACTATGTAAACATTTAAATTTTAATATATCTAGTGGATAAGTAATTTTATTTCTTATTATAAATGATTTTGAGCAAACTTTTGTGTATTTATTGAACATTTTGAAATATTTAAATCTTTTTTCCTTTTAAAAAATTCATTGTTCCTTATCTTCCAAGAGACTTGGAAATGTTTGAGATATACTATTTTATAAAATATGAGATGAGAATATTTTACTTCATTTATTTTTTCTTAATTTTTATGGTAACTTTGGTTCTGCTAAAAAGTTTTCATTTTTACTTAATCAAGCTCAGTTGTACTTTTATTAATAGTGTTTAGATTTTATGGCAGAAAGAATTCTTGACTCCAAAATTACTGTTAAATAATAACTATTAAATTATTTCACATATAAA